ATCTAACTTTCTAATCCCAATATCTGTGCAACCTGATTTCGTTAACCAAAATATGAACTCTGTCAGATCAAATAGACAAAGTTTTAAATATCAATCGTTTTCACATCAGGTTTAGAAGATAAAGAAATTTGTATACTATATTAAGTTTTAAATGATTGTTCACTGTTTTTCAAAAATATGTTATTTTATATTTTGTAGACTTCTGGCTAGTAGGAAAGAGCTGGAAGAACCATTTGAAAAAACACAAATAGGATCCAGTGCCATGGCATACAAACGAAACCCTATGCGAAGGTAAAAAAAAACTTAACTAAAAATGGGATAAGAAAGGTTAGGCAAGGAGTGGATATCTTCGACAAAAGAATTCTTGATTCTTTAAGTTCATCTCGGATACAGTGCTTCAGAATACGGCCTCGTCTACAGCAATCTTTTCCTCAAGGCCTGCAGAGTATATACACCGGTATCATAGTGCATGGTGCACAACCTATCATGATTCTATTTTCTATGTATTCATTTTTCTTGTTTCTGGCAAGAGGGAGGGGGAAGAGAAGCATAAAGAAACCCCTCCTTCTCTGCACTATTATGTTCTTGTTTTCCAAGTAGGGTGTACTGCCATGTTTTATTCAACACATGGGTTCTGTTCAGTTGCAAGATACTGGAGAGAGTTGTATAAGAACCTGACTGTTCTGAGCTCTCTTGATGCTTACACATGGAACCAGATTCAATCGAAAGAATTAGCATCTTTCCAACGAGTTTGGATATTTAATAAGAGCTAACCAGGCTTGTTATTATGGAGTATATTAAAACTGTCAGTAGCAAAATCTGGATCCAGCTAGGTAAAAAACTCAAGGTTAATACCGTGTTAAGGAATGAATGCAGGCCTTTAATGTTACTTTTATTGATAACTTTTAAAAAGGTTTTTTGTCATCATTACAATTTCAGGAGAACAAATAGTAATTTTTTTTTTAATATTCATAAAATTGATTCTTTTAATATTTGCTTATCTTACCAATAGTCATTAGTCAAGCTTGGTCTCCAAACTATGTTAAGTTGGTCAAAACATTATTTTTAAAACACTAAATTAACCTGATGGAGGTTTACCTTATTCCCATGGAATGATGATTGATTGATTGATTGATTGACTATTTAGTGAACGTGTTTGTTCTCTGGCTCGCCATTTGATATCATTAATTCAGTCTCCTCTCAACACTGCAGCTACTCAATGGATGGAAAGGTTGGTGTATATTTCATACTTCACCGTTATCCTAGTTTGCCACATAATACATGATATTTGCCTGCTTTTAACAGTTTGCGACACAGCCCTTTGGTTCAATACCCAATACAAATAAATTGGCTCTACCAACAATGCTTTCGGTTAAAAACTTTTGTGTTGTTATTTTGAATACTTGAATCAAGCAGTTATATGGATAAGATTATTTCCCTTTACATATCCCGGGCCATGGTGATGGTACTCTAATGGGATCACAGATAACTAAGATTGATGAATCACACAAATTTACCTTATATTAAAAGTTGTCACAGTGTATATCTCGATATCAAGCGTTGTAGATTACAAAAGATATGGTCTTTTTTTAAAGATGTATTTAATATGTATTATTTATTTATTCTGAAAAAATACAAGGCAGGAAAATTTCGATTTTTAGAATATTATTGTTTAGAACACTTGATGATTCTGCAAACCGGAGAATCACCATTGCTGAAGCATTCCTCACAGCTGATGCCATTTTACAAACCTTACAGAATATTACTGAAGGTAGCTATTTTGTTTTTAATTTAAATCAACCCGTTTTATGGCGCTAGCATCGATTTACTTGAGGCATGGTGGTCTACCCCAAAGTAATCGAGAGATATATCGCTCAAGAGCTTCCCTTCATGGCAACAGAGAATTTTATCATGGCCATGGTCAAGGCAGGAGGAGACAGGTGACATTTTGAATAAAATTTACTACGTCATCTCAAGTGATATCCCATTTAAAGAGAATATCTTCCTCCGTCTAGTGTTCAGTTGTGAGAGTTTCTTTATTTTTATATGTTGCATAAATCCGCATTCTGATTGTCACTTCTATAGATAAATGCATTTGGAAATGAGAAAAACAAAGATATCTTGGCTTAGAGGAAGGTTTCAAAGAGTAGCGTTGTAAATTAGGCATACTCTTCTTTAAATGCAGGGTCAAATTAAATTTTGTCTACAGTCTCTTTAAGATTGATGAATATATGTTTAATTTGTTTAAATCCCTCCAGGCAGGATTGCCATGAGCAGATCAGGGTTCTATCTCAGCAAGCTGGAGATGTTGTGAAGAAGGAAGGAGGGGATAATGATCTCATTCAAAGGAAAAACTAATTTCGCAATCTTTCTAATTTTCCATTTTTATCAGATTGAATGTATTTGTATGAATTAGATTAGCAAAAAAGCTTCTCTTTAAATTGAGTATAAAAAGAATTATTTCAAATTAAATTTAAAAGAAAATTATTTGTGTACGCAGAATTAAGGATTGTGCTTATTTTGCACCAATTCATGCTGAGCTGGAGACCCTTATGGACCCAACTACCTTTGTAGGCAGAGCACCAGAACAGGTTGATTGATCGATTGATTGGTTGATTAGTTGATTGGCATATTATATTTGGTTTAATTAGATGTTGCTTGTTTTTTTTAGTTGTATGAACATTGGACTGAAAGGATAAATGCAAAAGCAAAAAATTGTGTTGAGTCCAGTATATTAAGGTTTTTTTTAAGTTTTTAAGAAGAACTCCATTTTGATGGATTGTTAAATTTTCTAAGAATCTCGACTTGATGATGTAAAAAAATAATGATTTTTATGATTTTAATTGGATGTTTGATTGATTGATTGATTGAGTATAAATGATTTGATTTTGAAGGTCCGGGAATTCCTGGATAGCGAAGTGTATCCTGTCCTGGCGAAATATCCCGGACAACTGGAGGGTTCCGTCTCTCTGGCTGTTTAAATACTGATTGGAAATCTGCACCAACGTCTTTAAGAAACTGAAGATATTATGTTAAGCTACCCTTTATTTTTAAAAGCACTTGTCCGATTCGCGATGGTACCCTTGAAGATGTGATTTATGCATCAAGATATAGTAGAAAATTGTCAGAATTCAACCCGAAAAACGATGATATCTTCCTTACTATTGTTGATGGGAAGGTTTAAAGAATACCGTTATGAATCGAACATGTCAATCTTGTAAATTGTGGGTTACTTAAAGGGACTGTTAAGGAAAAATATAATGGGGTATAGGCTGAAAGCTTTTCACTTCAGCTCTTGATCGCGACCCATGAAAGTTCTATCTGATGTTCCTGTCGCGAGAAATTGATAAAAAACTGTGTCAAATTTATAAAAAAGATATAATATATCTACAATTTTGTATAGAAATGGTAAGTTTACACAGATCATATTCAGCAAATACGCATCCAATCTGAAAACGAAGATATCCCAGAGAAACATATTTGTAACTTAGGTTTTCTCCAATTATTATTTTATAATTTTTATTTTTATTTTTAATAGATATAATTGATAATATTATGTAGAAGTCCGTATCAAAACTCCCACCAATGGAAGTGCAGTATACTAGTCCCGTCATACAGACAGATACACGTGACCAGTAAATTGCACTCTCATTGGTGAGAGTTCTGCTGGATATAAATGAATTTTTGTATAAATTTGAAATAGTTTTTCTATCAATTTCTTGAGACAGGAACATTAAATATAACATTCATGGGTCGCGATCAAGAGCTAAAGTGATTAGCTTTCAGCCTATACCCCTTTTTATTTCCCTTTACAGTCCTTTAAAATTATAATTTCGTTCACAGTCCTTAAAAGTCTGCGCCAAGATTTTAACTCTGGGAAAATGCCATTTTGAGTAGTAGTCAATTAGAAATAGTAGTTTTAGAAGATTATTTTACCCAAGATCTGATTCGGTGATATTTCTAGCAATCCTAACCATCCTGGAGTATTGATATTGAGCAATCCAGTGTTTTTTTTATTCTTTTAGAATCCTTAATCATTTGTATGTAGAGTGCACTGAAACTGGTGAATTCTTTGCTTAATTATATGAAGAGCTTATTTTTAATAAATGTATTCCCATGAAGTCTTATTGTTGTATAAGAGATGATTTTGTATTGTATAAATTAATCTGAATCAATTCAAGTTTTCAGATGAATAGTAAAAATGTTGCTTTGTTTAAAGCACCCTCAGAGGACTGTCAGGAAGAGAATGTCACTGGTTTAAACGATAAACAACTTCCTTGCAGAATGATGCAATAAGAATGAAATCTTGTATTTGTACTTCCCAAACTCTTTAAACACGTTCATCTCTGATTTCCTCAAATCTCTATATTTTTGCAACTCTTTGATATTTTAATCTATAAATCCTGTAAGATCAATTAATTTCTAGGTTTAAAATATAAGAATAGAAAGACTTTGAAAACAAACAGTAAACAGGTTTACTGATATATAGTATTTGTTTGTATGCGTGTGCCCACATCCCTTAATTAAAAATAAATTACTTTTTTAGGTTAATAAAAATAGGTTTTAAATATCAAAGGTTTACACCATCTGGTCGCAAAGATATATGGATTAGAATATTTGAGACTTAATTCTTACACATATTTTTGTAATAAAGAATTCAACCGAGTTTATCTTTTTGCTCAAAAGATGTCTGCTTTTTTATATCATATGAACAATTATGAATCATAAAATAGCGAAATCGCGAAGAAAATCGGGTTCTCTGTCAGAAACATGTTAATTTGAAACAAATATTCATTCTTGCCATTAAGAAGATGTGTCGAGTTGTTTTTTTAAAAATTGTGAAAATATATTTCTACCCAAATTGGTGATCAATCCCTTTTAAAATTGACATTATTCCCCTTGTTTTGTAGGACAGGTATGTGAAAGTTCTTGAAGAAGATGGGTTTAATGTTATTCTAGTTCCTGTTATACAGTTTAAATTTGTTAACCAACAGGTAGAAATGGTTTAATGTTACTCTAGTTCCTGTTATACAGTTTAAATTTGTTAACCAACAGGTAGAAATGGTTTAATGTTACTCTAGTTCCTGTTATTCAGTTTAAATTTGTTAACCAACAGGTAGGATGGGTTTAATGTTACTCTAGTTCCTGTTATTCATTTTAAATTTGTTAACCAACAGGTAGGATGGGTTTAATGTTACTCTAGTTCCTGTTATTCAGTTTAAATTTGTTAACCAACAGGTAGAAATGGTTTAATGTTACTCTAGTTCCTGTTATTCAGTTTAAATTTGTTAACCAACAGGTAGGAAGGGTTTAATGTTACTCTAGTTCCTGTTATTCAGTTTAAATTTGTTAACCAACAGGTAGGAACGGTTTAATGTTACTCTAGTTCCATGTAGGAAATAATCAGTGAAAAATGAGGAGTTTGTTTTAACATTGAAAGTTGCGGCAAGAAACAAGTTGTTTTGAGTTTCATCTTTAAATTTGAATTAATATGAGTTGAGTAGTTGTTGCAACAGTTACCGAGTATAATGGAATAGTATTCTAGGAGTTCAGAACTGCTGTTGCATCAGCTGCCGAATATACTGGCATAGTATTGTAGGAGTTGAGTACTGCTGTAGCCTCAGCTGCCGAGTATACTGGAATAGTAATGTAGGAATTGAGTACTGCTGTAGCATCAGCTGCCGAGTATACTGGATAGGAATGTAGGAGTTGAGTACTGCTGTAGCATCAGCTGCCGAGTATACTGGAATAGTATTGTAGGAGTTGAGTACTGCTGTTGCATCAGCTGCCGAGTAGACTGGCATAGTAATGTAGGAGTTGAGTACTGCTGTTGCAACAGCTGCCAAGTATACTGGAATAGTATTGTAGGAGTTGAGTACTGCTGTTGCAACAGCTAACGAGTATACTGGAATAGTATTGTAGGAGTTGAGTACTGCTGTTACATCAGTTACCAAGTATACTGGAATAGTATTGTAGGAGTTGAGTACTGCTGTTGCATAAGCTGCCGAATATACTGGCATAGTATTGTAGGAGTTGAGAACTGCTGTTGCATCAGCTACAGAATATACTGGAATAGTATTGCAGGAGTTGAGTACTGCTGTTGCAACAGCTACAAAGTATACTGTAATAGTATTGTAGGAGTTGAGTACTGCTGTTGCATCAGCTACCGAGTATACTGGAATAGTATTGTAGGAGTTGAGTACTGCTGTTGAATCAGCTGCCGAGTATACTGGAATAGTATTTACAAGTAAACGAGCTGTGGAATCTGTAGTAAATTTACAAATTGATATTCAGGTGAGCTAATTTGGATTTTAAATCTTACAAAGGTATTGTACACTTTCCTCTAACTCTAATTTTATAATCTCTGTTTCTTTGCAACCTGATGTCAGCCTTTGATATTTCAAATTAAAGATTGTATATTGGTTTGTGGGTTTACTGTGCTCATAAGATATAATTCTTAGGTCTATAGGTTATTTTCTTTTTATAAAAATAACTAGCTCTATAAATAACATTTTTATTCTTAACATTTTTTTATTTTACCATCTAATAATTTTGGTAATTTTTTGTAGAACTGAGGAGAATTTAAAGATAAATCGAAATTAATTTCCAATCCGGAGTTTTTCTATCTGCAAGAGAGATAATCTTGTTTGGCCAATATGGACAATTTACTGCTTAGATCTTGAAAGAGAAAGATATTTATGCTGTGGGACCAGGAACAGCTGATTTTCTTCAGGAAACGACTTAAAACAACTTTTTTTAAATATTCCAACCAGATCTTGCGATTTAAAAAACTCGAGAAAAATACGGCTCGGGTCTAAGCTGCCGTTGGGCCTTATTTACGGCTTGAGCTTTCGGATTCAAGCTGCATCTAATTTTTCCACAGGGTCGAGTTCAAAAAACCGGTTTAATATTTTATTTGGCAGATTTTTATGGAAGGAATTGGCGCATTCCGGGTTTTTATGAGAACTAGACTTAACATTAAGCCTTATTCAAAATCAAACGTAATTCTTCACAATTGTTTATTGAAAGTAGATTTCTACTCCAAAGAAGATCACACACACAAACAATATAACACACACATTTACACACACGTCACGGGCTCCTTTTCAAAAATGAATAAGATCGTTGATTGGTTTCAGGATAAGTTTGGATTTGCAAGTAAGGGTTCTGAAACCGGATCAGGAGAAGCTCTTGCAATTTTTATAATCGAAGAAAACTTGAAATCTTCAAGGAAATTAATCTAAAACACAAATATAAAACACGTAAAAGGAGCTGAGCTGAAAACTTTAGAATGGTGGATATCAAGATCATTGCTTGATCTCCTCTTTTTATTAATCTCCAGATTAAATATGGCTTGTTCTCCCTTGTTATTAATCTCCAGATTAATTAACAGATCGGGATTAAGGATATCCCATTCTAAAGTTTTCTGCTCTGAGTAATTTCTTCATAGTCGAATTTTATAATCCTTTAAATCTTGACAATTCAATTAAGTATTTTTGATATTTTAAACTGTGTATTGTAGTACAGTGAGAACCAGAAAACAATGGAATAGGAAGACGTCTTTTAGACTCAAGTTCAACATTAACAACTCCAATGCAAGAGAGACAGCAATTTTACCTTAAAAGGGATTTATTAACTTAATACTAAAGAACTTGCGGATTTTTACATATTTTTACTTAGGTTTCCCAGAAACATATTTTTACGGATAATTTTTAGGTTTCTATTTCACGAATTATTATGTATTTTTTTGGTTTTTCTTTACTTAAAAAATTGTATTTTTATTTTAGAGTTTAAAAGTTTGATGCTTAACTTAAACACATATATTTTCGCAATTTCATACTTAGTAATTTTTCTAAGTTTATAGGTTTTTATTTTACGTATTTTTACGTATTTTAAAGTTTTTTTCCGGGTTTTTTGTATACTTAAAAAATGCATTTTTATTTTAGAGTTTAAAAGTTTCATGCAAACATAAAATACGTATATTTTCGTGAATTTCATACCAAGTAATTCTTCCAAGTATTTAAGGTTTTTATTTTACGTATTTTTTCGTTTTTTTTACTTTTAAAATGTATTTTTTTAGAGTTTAAAATTTTGATACCAACCTAGAAATATGTATATTTTCGTATTTTTCATGCCACTAATTTTTCTAATTGTCTATATATTCACGAAACCTCCACTGCACGAAATTTTTAAGTTATAATTTCAAAATATTTCATAATTTTTCAAGAGAATTGGAATTTAAGAAATTTAATGCAACTATTTTGGTAAATACAATGTTTCGAAATTTCTATCATTTGGGAGTAAATTGATGTTTTTATTAGAATCAATGTTAGAATCAATGTCAGTAAATTCGCGATTTTCTTTTATAAATATAAATTCCATTTGAAAGTCTTGTAACAGGTATAAAGTATAAAAGATGTTGAATATGTACTTGTTGAATATACATACAAAATGCATGCATGAATGTTTACTAGGATGGATACAGATGAAGGAATGATGATGGTGTGAATTGTGTAGAAGAATTATGGATTGGATTGAAATAAATTGATATGAATATTGTGGAATTAGTTGTATGGATATGAAGAAACATCATCATCATTTTCTTAACATTTTGGTTTTAGAACTTTAATTAGCCTTAAAAATACGCATTTTTATAAACCTAAAAATTCCTGATTCATTCGATTTAAGGTTTTTTACATACGCATTTTTACCAAGGAAATGATTACGAAAATATTTACGTCATAAGAATGGAAAATACGTATTTTTACGTATTCCAACCCTAAAAATACGCATATACACGAATGTCATGCGTATTTTTTGAATTTCCGGTTAGTAGGGAACTCTTTTAAAAACGTAATAATTTTAAGGACTATAGAAAATGAAAATATTGCAAAGCATGTGCTATTATTGGTTATGTGTTTAGATTATTGTTTACATCAGAAACCCGTTTTTACTGTTCCCTTGCAGTTCTCTATCACGCGAAACTATGACGACACCTTTAGGAATATTTTGAAATCCATTTTTGATTTTTTTGTTTTATTTTACGTTAAATCAACCCTCGTAAAATATTGAATTGTAAATCGCGATTTTTCAAACACCTCCAGATGAAATCCCTACGCTGGTCTGCAGTGGAATCAAAATCTTACTACGAACTTCTTTGATTCCTTCAGGGCTGCCATTTCAAAATTAACCTACTTTAGAAAATGCTGGAATACAATGTAGAAGAATTATAAGTTATGAAACTTCGGAAAATCAAGACTTGAAATCCATCATGGCTGTCCTTGAACAACAGAGTATTTGCGCATTTTTCAGTCCTTCTGGCGTCAAAAGCGCAATGCCGCATTTTTCCTCGGAGCACTTGAAAGCGGCAAAATTTGTAGCAATCGGTGAAACAACTAAACAGGCGCTAGAAAATTATGATATAGGTATTTATCAATTTGTATGCAAAGGTTTTTTAAAACTAATCTTTTAAACTTTTTTTAGATGTTTATTGTGCTGAAGAACCAACCCCTGCTGCAATTCTAAGCTTGTTACGAGTATTTAATTTATGTAATTAGTGATTCATCATAGAATCAGATAGATATGCAAATTAAAAAAAATTTAGAGTTAACAATCTGTGATATAATTAACTGTTTTACGGTATTTTTTTTTAGCTTCTACAACTTTGGAATTTCACTTTTTTATACATTTGGTATCAAATATAATGTTGATTTTTTTTTCCAAATGAATTTAAATATCAAATAAATTTGCCAATGATTTTTCGATTGTTTTTGATTTGTAATCCATTGGAAGGTATTTAAAAAGTGGGTTTCCATTTGCAGTTGCTCAAAAATAGCGCAAAACTTGATCTCAGTTGGTAACTGTAGAATGGTGGATATCGGGATTAATACTTGATCCACTCTTTTTCATAATCTCAAGATTAAATAACGGTTCTTCTCCTCTTGTTGTTAATCTCTAGATTGATTTACCAATCGGGATTAAGGATATCCTATTCAAAAGTTTTCAGCTCTGAAGTCATATCTAAACAAATTTAAAATCTATCTTGTTACATGCAGCAAAAAATAAATCGTATTGGTCGGACATCAAATTATTTAATATAAGTTGGAATGGATATCTATAGAATAATTCAAATTATTTAATATATGTTGGAATGGATATCTATAGAATAATACAAATTATGTAATATATGTTGGAATGGATATCTATAGAATAATACAAATTATTTAATATATGTTGGAATGGATATCTATAGAATAATACAAATTATTTAATATATGTTGGAATGGATATCTATAGAATAATTCAAATTATTTAATGTATGTTGGAATGGATATCAATAGAATAATTCAAATTATTTAATGTATGTTGGAATAAATATCTATAGAATAATACAAATTATTTAATATATGTTGGAATGTATATCTATAGAATAATACAAATTATTTAATGTATGTTAGGAATGGATATCCATAGAATAATACAAATTAATTATTTAATATATATTGGAATGGATATCTATAGAATAATGCAAATTTTTTAATGTATGTTAGGAATGGATATCTATAGAATAATACAAATTATTTAATATATATTGGAAAGGATATCTATAGAATAATACAAAATATTTAATATATATTGGAATGGCTATCTATAGAATAATACAAATTATTTAGAAAATAAGATTATTACTTAGATATATGACTCTGTTCATTGCCTTATATAATTATTTGTATATAAAAATTTAAGTTTAATTATATTATATTATTCCAAAAATCCCATATCTTAATGGAACTAACTCTGTACTTTACAGTCTTGTGGCTGAATATATGAGAGATAATAAAGAAAACTTTTCACATTTGTTATTTTTTAATCTAACTAAAAGAACAATTTTCTTCTTCAATCTTTCTTAAACTTATTTATTTTAAGTCGCCCCCCCCCCTTTTTCTCTTTGGTTAGTAAATTTTTTATCATCGCTAAACCCTAAATCATTTATTTCGCCTTGAATGTTCATTATTTTAATCTTAAATTTTTAAGAAATAATTAAATTTTTTGAAAAAATTCCAAAAAATATTTCAAAAAATTTTTGGATGCATATCTGTAATTATCTACATATGAATTTATGAATGTAATAAAACAGAAAAAAAGCTTACCCTAAATTTGTTGATCAACAAAGAAAACCCTTTTATAACATACTAGCTGAAGGGCCCGGCGTTGCCCGTGGAAAAAACTTTGGAAATATTTGAAAAAATAGTATTTCGATTATTTAGCCTTTAACTCCCCCCGGCCACCCATGAGTTTCCACAAAAAAAGTTAGCCCATTCAGTCCAGCCGTTTGACCGGCTGGAGGGAAAATGTACATGAATGTCTTGTTTTATTATATAGAAACACTCGGTAAAGTCTGTCATATAAATATATATTTAAAAGGATTATCCCTAACTCCACCCTAGACTAGTGATGGCGTTGTTTTGAGGTTCTTTTGAAACATTTAGTTTTTTTTTCTGAGGTTTAAAGCGTGAGTTATTGATAAAATTGCAAAATTGTATTCTCGATGTGTTTGCTATTATTACATTAATGCGAATTTTTTATCTTCTCAACAATATCTATTTATGTCATGTTAAGTGTGAAAATACTTTCATTTTGATCTTAAACAAACTAGAAAAATTTAAAATAATTTTTACAATTTTTTTCCACGGGCAACGCTGAGCCCGCCAGCTAGTTTTAAATACGATTTTGCCTGAAAACGATGCCCATCAATATTCTAGACTAGGATTCTACTTTTCTTCTAGAAACATCTGCAGCCATTTATATCTTACAAATAGAGAATACAGGGTGGTTTATTTTTCGACCTACACATATCCGCCATACTATTTCTGACCTACGCCAAATCTGCTACACATCCGACCTACTAGCACGTGGTATTACAGCTGCTATATGGACTTGTGGCCGCAGCGCTCGGCCCCCTAGCCTGTCCTAGTCGCAGAGCTCGGCCCAGAAACTGTCTTAACCTAACCTAACCCTCAAGTAATACAAAAATAAACAGCTGNCTTGTTGTTGTAACAATTACCTTTTGTTAATGGTCGTTGTTCTTGTAATGTTGTGGTTGTTATTGTTTTGTTGTTTTTTGTTGTTGTTGTAATCAGTACCTGTTTTTGTTATTGTGTTTTGTTTTTGTTGTTGTTGTTTGTTATGTTGTTGATGATGTTGTTGTTGTTCTTGTTGTTATTGTTGATGATGTTGTTGTTGTTTCTGTCGCTTTCGTTTTTCTTGTGGATGGTGTTGTTGTTGTTCTTGTTGTTATTGTTGATGATGTTGTTGTTGTTGCTGTCGCTTTCGTTTTTCTTGTGGATGGTGTTGTTGTTGTTCTTGTTGTTATTGTTCATGATGTTGTTGTTGTTGCTGTCGCTTTCGTCATACATACATACATACATACATACATACATCTATACATACATACATACAAACATACACCTACTCATACATACATACATGTATATACATGCATCGTACAGGATTACCCATAGAATAACAAGTCTCATAAAGGTCAAAAAAAACTTAAAACATGAATTCTCATTCTGGAGGCAGAATTTGGGTTTTATTTACCTCGGGTTCAGCCTTTAATCAATGTATTTACAATGATTTTGCAGATTAAGAGACAAGTTTACTTCTGGAGGATTGGTGAAAGAAAGGCAAAACAAATTCTGTTTAGTCGTCTCTAAAGTCTCATTCTTTCTGAGTAGCCCTGTAATACTTTAAACTTATAAACTGAGCGATGCTTTGGAATCTTTTTACTATTATTATTATTCTTATTATTATTATTATTATTATTATTATTATAATAACTACAAATATTATTATTATTATT